GGTGATGTATTTACTAGTTTACTTAGGTGTGGTGATGTAATTATTAGTTTACTTAGGGGTGGTGGTGTATTTACTAGTTTACTTAGGTGTGGTGATGTAATTATTAGTTTACTTAGGTGTGGTGATGTATTTACTAGTTTACTTAGGTGTGGTGTTGTATTTACTAGTTTACTTAGGTGTGGTGTTGTATTTACTAGTTTACTTAGGTGTGGTGTTGTATTTACTAGTTTACTTAGGTGTGGTGGTGGTGTATTTACTAGTTTACTTAAGTGTGGTGGTGGTGTATTTATTAGTTTACTTAGGTGTGGCAGTGGTGTATTTACTAGTTTACTTACGTGTGGCAGTGGTGTATTTACTAGTTTACTTAGATATGGTGTTGTATTTACTAGTTTACTTAGGTGTGGTGGTGGTGTATTTATTAGTTTAGTTAGGTGTGGTGAATGGATAACTCAGGTAAGTTGGACATATGTGAATAGCCAGAAATTTTTGAAAGTTAATTATGGAATGAAATTTTAGCAGTTCAGATGAGTGACTCAATTAACATGGCCATTTAAAAAAGTTACGTTAAAGACTAATCAAAATTTGATTCCAAAAAATATTGAAAGGTTTGTTTTCTGTATTTGTGCAAAGTTACACAAGGGCTATTTGCATTTCTTGTCCTTAATTCTGAGTACATAAACGAGAGGAAGTGCAGTTAGTGAACAGCACCCACTACCAACTTTTGGGATACTTTAATTGAAGACTCAGATTTAATTATCACTCTTAAATGTATCCATGGCAACAAAATCAACTAATCAAATTAGTGTCTCCAATTATTACTGTTTTTCATTATAAATTAGGCTAATCTAGATATAGGTATTCCATAAAAATAAACATATGATCATACTTACAAATGCCATGAGTATGAATATATTAGTAGGAGAGGTCCTTCTGACTTTATCGCAGCAAACCAAGATGATCATAAGTATAAACATGAGGACACTGCAGGAAGAAATAAGAAAATTTCCTGTACTTACGACAGACACACTTCCACAACCGATAAAATTTGGACTTCACACACCTACACAAATATTATATATGACTAACTTAACTTCCTAAATAAACACACTTTTTTTACAGTTTTTTTTATTATAACTTTTTACAATAAAAGAAAACCAAATCATTGAAAACACACATTTAAAATTTTCTGATTATACATTAACATCTCCAAAAAAGGTCATTCTTTTATTTATTTACATCAGAAAAACTTAATTTGAAATATCGCAAGAAGAGAAAAAGAGTTAATGTCACTATACAACTTTACGTGCCACACTCTGATTTTTTCAGTGTTGTTAAACATAAATGTACATGTTGGCAATCTTTTAATGTTACGACAGAGATACCTTCTTTGACATTTTAAAACACGTTTCATCATGTTTGGGTGTATTTTATTTTTCTGCTTCTCTAAGGAGTACAAACTATTATCTAGCTTCTAACACTACATAAATGTAAAAAAAGATTACCATATGAGACTTATATTCATGGATTCAATAAAAAAAAACTTAAAAATACAGCTTATGTAATATAACTACCCTGACTTTCAGCAAGTGGTCAGTTTTTGTTACTTGGAAAACGTTTTTATAAATAACCAAATTATTTACTCTAACTTTCAGTGCCGCATTAGATTAGGGCTTAGATGCATAACTTCGACACTCGGCTGGAGCCAAGTATTACTGGGTAGCCCAATACCTAGCTGGGGCCAAATATCTGGCCAGGTACTCGTGCATTCCATTCAGAGAACAATAGAGGGTTATGGTTTGAGAAGTTGGGGCTAGGCGTTGAAAGTAAAACTTGAATGTTTTGTTGGTGATTATTCAGTTAAACGTAATAAACATCAATTTTGTTTTTGTTTCTAATTTTTGTGTATGTTGTTTTTTTTTGGGGGGAGGGGGGAATCGGTCCTGGTTGAAGCTTAGTGACTGGGTATTCGGACCCGGTTTTCGGCCAAATTTTACTACCTGTGCATCCCTAAATATAACATAAATGTATTGTGTAGTTACAATTATTTAAATGCTATTTATTAGAAAGTTCCACATTAATGTTATTAGTTTAATAATTAACAATAAATGTATTTTTCTTTGCATTACATAACAGATACTACTGAAAAATTACCACAAACACTTCCATTAACACTTTTTGGCTGCAATAACAATGTATGATCATAAAAATCTTCATCTGTCCTTAAATAATTCACAGTCTGCACTTGTTTTAAACCTATTTTAATTTATCTATTTCATTTGTGCCAGATTTTAATTTTCTCGTGTTATAATTGGTATATTCAAATTGTTTACTTCTTAGGTTTATCATATTTCTGTCGTAATTACAAATATTGTTTGTCCGTTTTGTACCTCTAGATTACTGATGATGGAAATTTGATGATTCCAAAACATTTAATAAATGCTTCCTAATATCACGTTCGTGTTGTGCTTTATCATTAATGAATTATCTTTACTAATCCTGTAATTTTTATTGAAGTTTTATAAAATTAATTTCTCTACAGCCTTAGAAATTAGATGCATACAGATATTTTAAATAGCGAGTTATGAAAGTTTAACACGCATTTCATTGAAAGCAAAAATGTTAGAAAGAACGTAACATTATATCATTTTTTTTCTGATTCCATTATTCCACAAAATGTGCATCAATGAAGTTAGCTTATAGTGCAATCCAGAACAGTTCTATGTGTTTAGCAGCAAACTTCTGAACTTTTGGTCTGAAAAATATTTGTTAATTTGTATAAATAAGCCTATTAACTTACAGTGCAATCCAGAACAGTTCTATGTGTGTAGAAGTAAACTTCTTAACTGCCGGTCTGAAAAATATTTGTTAATTTGTATAAATAAGTCTAAATTTTTTTTTTTTAGGTATTTATAATTTCTAAATTTTTTTAATGCTGAAAACTAAACCACAAATCATCTTATTCCTTGATATTTTATCCTATACTTGTAGGAACTAAGGTTAGCCTAACAATGTTAAAAAAATAAATGTTCACCATAAAGATGATTATATTTCATTTGTGTTACGTTATAAACAAAATATTATAAAGCATTCAAATCTAAAACTTTTAAAGTACTTCTGTGAGATATATATATATATATATATATATATACATTGATAACTTATCCGTACAAAAGTGAGTAAATTTAAATCTATAAGTATATGTATCATTACCTAAAAAATAATAAGGTTAAATGTGATTGCACAAGAAATTTTTTCAGAATATATCTTTGTACTTTAAAAGGTAAAAAACATTCTGAAATTGTGAGAACCTTATGGATTGGTTGGCAATCACTATCATATCTTACAGGGTAGCAGAATGTCCAAACACTTTGAGCATAGACTCTAAACCATGCAGATATCTGGAGGATTGGGGGTATTTGTGTGCAATAGAACCAAAGCTTGTTTTAATTAAGTCCCCAATGGATGTGCAGTTGTATTTCCACCTAATGGTTTCTTTCTGTACAGTGGTAAATGAAAATAACACAAAGAATGTAATGTTGTCAGATATAGCACAAACATGCCATTTTTTTTTTTTTTTTTTTACATTGGTGCATTGTTCTGACAGAAATGGCTTTAAAGTAGAACCAAACACTGTGTTGATGATAATAATTTATAAATTAAAATTAAAATTAAATACATATTTCACCATCAACTGGTAATTTACTAAAATTTAACACGCGAGATGGTTGACACAAGAACAGTCCTGTCAACTCTGGAGTAAAATCTTCACGTTCCAACCAAATCCTTCAGCGTGCAACTATTCTACAACCCTGATATAATATTCTCAGTTCCCACTTATTTGTCTGCTTTGGTTAAGTTCTTTGTTTTGGGCCATAGTACCATTATCTATAACTTTCCAAACATATATCAGAACATGTATAAATATTAAAAAACATCTGTTTATTCATTACAAAATTAAAATAAAGTTACACCAATATAGAAACTATTTTTCACTGTTGATTTCTAGTTACGAATGTAAAAAATAAAAACATTTTACAGGTTATACACATTGTACTTATTTACTTACACATAAAGGAATAGAGCAATGAATCCCAGCGTGATAGCAAGTTGTACCATCAAAATTCCATACACTTTGCGAATGAATCCTGCATGTACAGATTGTACAAAAAACATTACCTTTCATCCTTAACTTCAATTTTAGAAACCATCATAAAAGTAGCAAAATGAAGATTAACCATAAAACTCACCTTTCCAGAACCTTGCTAGCAGATGCAGAACATCAGGCAACTGAATGTATATTACTTACGAACAAAATATGTGTGTGAAAATAAACCTATAAAAAATGGCATTCAATATAGTCCTAGTGGTCTTTAATAGTTTCTTCCTATTAATAAGAACTTTGGTTTTCAGATAAAAGAATGCATCCCTATAAGCACCAGGAAGTTTATTTTTGTATTACTAAATTATCAGTTGCACATACATGTTAAAGCAAAAAATATCACCTACATACTGTAGTCCACTTGGATAGAATACACATTTTTATAGACACACAAGAACATCTTAGATACGACTATTACAAGCAAAAAGTTATTAATCGTGCCACTTGATAGACTCGGAAAGCAAATAAAGGTCTACTAGAAGTCAAAAAAGCTTATTCTAAAACCAGTTCAAAGTTAAATTGTTTTATATGTATCTGATGTTATCTAAATTGCAATTTTAAAATAACTAATAATCTGACATGTTATACAGATTATGATTGTGACAGAACCAGCTGTAAAAGTTTTGGAGGTGAAGAAAACAAGGGTCTCAAAATACAAAGGTATTCATATGTACAGTATGCATTTTTTTTTATAGTAAACAAATATACACTTGAATACAATAAGTCATAACAGCCCCAAAACAGTGGGCAATGTTGAATCAAATGTCCCATGTATTTATTCAAACTGGGTAATATGTGCTACCAGAAACAAAAATGTCAGCTTGACTGTGAACTATAAGAATCAGAAATATAAGATATTGCAGAGAAAACCTTATTGTCAAATACAATATTACAGAACTTTTGATGGCACTAAAAAGTCATTCTTCATGACGACAAAGACAATAATTATTCTAGCAATGATATTTGGAAATTTTCTTGAAACTATCCAATGTAAAGAACACTTGTAAACTACTGGCAACATTAATATACATCTTGTGTTTGTCAATAAACTCACCTTTTAGTGTTTATCTATTTCTTTGGCATTATAAACAAAAACTAAGGGACATTCTTAATTTGGGATATACTTTTTTACAAGTGTAGACTTACAAATATACTGTTCAAAGAATAATTTGTGGAAATTGCCATAGTAACAATTGTTTAACCATCCATAACAATGATGTGACTACAGAGCTGGTTTAAGAAGTGATGAATGCAGTATGATAAATTTAGATGGTTACACACATTATATATAGTCTTCGTCAGTTAGATTGACCTCTTAATCACCATGTAGCCGCAAAACTTTCTATATATATACCTTTTAACGCATCTTCATGAAGTTTGGCAAATTTATAATAGACATTACAAGTCTTTGATACACAAAAGATAAAATTTTATTAAATACTTTTACAAGAGATTTATCTGTGAATTTATGGTATCAAAATCCGACTCAGACTCTGACTAGTTTGTGTGTAAGGTGATTTTCATGTTAAGATTAAAAATACATTTTTTTTCACCTTACATTTCTCAAATTTCATTCGTGTAACCTATATGAATACTAAGCTTTTCCAGTAAAACTTTATATTTTATGTGCTTTTTTCTCTACCCTAACACAATACAAGCTCAGCCTATTTGATTGGCCTAGTAAAAACCACAACAAAATACAAAATAAATTTAAATTACCCCCTTTTTTCTCTCTCTAAAATGATTGCAGATTGCAACAGAAAATTAGTAATTTTTCCTCAATAGCTTCAGGCTCCTAATAGTTTACATTTGTTTTTTTTATTTAATTTTATTGTATTATTGCTCTATGAACCGTGTCTAACTACTAAACCCTTGTAATAAGCTAGAAATCACAAGTTAGGGCCTTAAATTACATTACACACAAACTTCTCACATACATACTTTGTAGAAAAATTTCTTTAATTAAATTTTTTAATCTATGTTTTTTTATCTAACCTAATTACTAACTTTTATATTTAAGGTAATTTTATAACAATAAATAAAACAAATATGTAAAAAACAAGAAATGCAGTATTTACGTGTGGTCTTGTACTTTTCTGCAGTCAAAGATTCAAAGTGTCGATAAAAGTTAATTCTAATTTAAGCTAGGGTTAGTTGTTAATACTTTACTCAGTTTTGATTTACTAAACATGTTTAAGTTAAAACACAAAATAATTGTGTGCACAAAGCATATAATGTCCTATAAGTATTATACTTTTAATTTACTTCTATCTAAGCTATAAGTGCATTGAAATAATTCCCTTAGCCAGTCAAGCTGAACTCGGCAATAGCAACTTTGAATTTGTATGCTGAATATTCAAAATGTTGTCAAGAAAATGAGCTAGCATTATACACAAGTCAGTAAATTAAAATAACCTCTTTTTTTTATTATTGGTTATAAACAATGTAATAGCAAATTTCAGAGAGAGAATTACCAAGATTTTTTTTCAATGATTGTATGTGATAGGAGGGTGTGGTATGTGGATTGGACTTTCTGGGTTATATCCAAGTAAAACAAGATGACTAAGACTATAAAGCTAAATTATGTTTGAGCAACATCTGTGAGTATGTAATTTCCATTAAAACTCAGAATTCAAATAAGGATGGAAATATCATATAAGTTGCAAGTTGGAGTGAATAAGTATCATGTGATACAGAAGAGTGAAGTTTGAGAATTTATTTAAGTATTTTCTTTTGAAATTAAGAAAATAAAACTTAAAAAATATTAAAATTTGGTTTATTTACTATGTTTTGATGCCAAGTTTATCGAGATGCATTGATAATAAAGTGGTTTAATCAAATTTTGAATGAAGCTCTGTGAAAAGGTAGTGATGTATACACTTTTAATTACCCATACCCAGAAGATTAAATGGCAAAATTATAAATTTATTTAGAATTAACATAGAAAGCTTTCTAGAGAAAGTTCAAGTTACAAATCTACTTATGGTTTGACAACAGCACTAGTTTCTTATGGAAAATCATCCTAAGCTTGACTCGTGTAAAGTCCCAAAAAATCCAGTGAAAGAATAGTGCAAAAAACATTAGTTTTATAAGATAAATCATTATTGATTCTCTTAGCAATAGGAGGATAATATTTCTCTGTATTGTACTGCGGTATCTTTAGACATACTAAAATTGAAAATCAGAAAATGGCATATTTCAAGATTTTGATAAATAAAGAATAATATAAGAAAACTTTATTTTAGATATACATACACAAATATGATACTTTTCTATAGACCTTCAGGAAGCAGAATTATGGGGCTTAAGGGCAATGTAAAAAAAAATTGGTCAAAATGTTTGAGTCAAATTTAATATATAATACCCAGGTACACACCCTCAGGATCTACTTAGTATGTGTGCAAAGTTTCAGGTCTCTAAATACTTTCATCTTGGAGCTATGATGGTCACATATATACACACACACAGACAAGTTATTTTATTAATTATATATTATTCCACAACAGTATTTTTCTAGTTCTCACTTACTGAATGAACAATATGTAGAGGTTTCCTGACAACTACTCTTTTTCAACACAAACATGGGAAAAATATATAAATCTGAGAATTAAAAAAAAGTTGAATTGAACTAAGTTTGGAAAACAGCAACAAACAATAGGAAGAAAAATATAAATCAAAGAATATTTGAGGATTCAGAGAATGAAAAGAATTCAAATAAAAACACAAGAAGAAAAACGAATCTGAGAGGTTAAAATAAAACTACTTGCTTCAAAAAAAAAGTTGAATTAAGTTTGGGAAATGGCAACGAAGAAATCAATTGAAGTATTGACACATTGGGATAGCTACAGAAGTAATTGAGAGATGCTTGTCTGGTACATTGAGGCCTCTGTGAATCATGAGAGGACCTTAGAATCCTGCAGCATGGGTATTTTATGCTAGTATAAAATAAATGCCAGTAGTTATGAGTCTAATTGATAAAAATAAACTTACCCATTCTAACTGCTTTGCACTTGAAAATGCAAAGTTAAGTCAGTGAAATGTGTTTCTTGTTCATTTATCAACACCTTGAGAATAATATGCCATTTTCTGACTTTTAGTTTAAGATAGTATTTTTGTCAGAAATTAAATGAGCTGTTAAGAACATATCTACGATTTATGTACGTGCATGTTTCTATTCTACACATAATGCACATACATGTATGTCAGACCAACTCATCTGCACTATTTGCAAAAACTAGTTTATCATCATCAGTTATATCACAGTAATACAAATTTTAAACTGAATATTAAAATGTATCCTTTCATCAGTCAACTAAATTATATGACTTCATACATTCATTTATGATTTTTAAAACATAAAATTAGGAGATATTCCACAATGAAAAAAAAAATATACAGATAGATACATTGTTGTGGAACAATATAAATGTCAATACTTCTCAGTTTTATTAATAAAAATAAATTTACCCATTCTAACTGCTTTCTCTGAAAAAGCATTCTCAAAGTTGGAGAACGGGGCACCCTCATCTGCTACCCCATACTCAGAATCATATGTTCCATAGGCAGACATACTGAACAAGGTACTCTGGTAGTAACTGAAATATTAAAAAGTTTAAAACACGTATGGTTAATGAACATGTTTATCTTGATTTATTTCATTGTTAAACAACAGCAGTTATTATACCATGTGAAAAAAGTTCTCTAGCAAAGAACAAAAAAAAACACCAATGGTTCAGTTTTTCTTTTATTTACTTAGCAATTCGGCAATTGTTTACTGTATCTAAACAAAATTCTCATCATGAACTCCAGACGGAAGGAAAAATATTCCACTTACACATTACCAAACAACAAACATGAGCTTGAGAGCCAATGAACTATACATTACTCTATCCTTTTTATACTCAAATTAAATGATAGCATAACAGTTAAACAAGTAATATTCAAATCAAAACAACTGATACATTTAGTTTCAAAGGTAACAAAAACTGAACTTGTTGTTATAGAGATGTACAGAGAAATAGCTATAAAGAAGAAACTGGTCATTACAGAAACATACAACACTCAACAATGATCGTTATAGGGTCAAATATCTACAAGTTTTGACAAAAACATCTTAGATGAAAAAAGATTAGAGCTGTCAGCAAACTGCTAAATAAAGGCTACATTTAGATAGGATGATAGGTGGTTTAATGAATCAAGTAGTCTTATGTTACTTTATAATACATTCACTTGAAAAGAATACAATGTTGTAGTGACAGAGCTGGGCAATTAGTGGAATGTGATGATTAATTGTTAGACTTATGAATCAATTACTTTCAATAAATGGATTATCCTCAAAAGATTTGGATAGTTTGAATAATACCAAAATAGTAATAACTGGAAATACTAATTTAGATTAGTTGATTATTTTTATGTCACAACACCAATCAAACTGAACAACCTTGAAATAGTCAAAAAATAATAATGAGAAATCATAATGGCAATATTACAATTACTTGGATAGCTGTAATAAATGGAAACACTAATTTAGATTACTTATTTTTGTGACATTAATCAACTTAATTATAATTTTGATTAGTCAAGTATTTTACACGACATTATTTGATGCTCATAGGTAATCGTTTAATCACCCAGCTCTAATGTAAGTTAGTAATATAACCTGATAATTATTGTTTACAAGCAATAAGTTAGAACTATGTGATAAAATTCTATCTAGGGAAACTTAAACAACTTTTATAGTTTCACCACACTTACTAGCTGACACCAGGAAAATCAGTCAGAAAGAACAATGAATAAATGAAAACATTCTATATCATATCTGTGATCAAGCACAGGCCTACTGGAATGGTCTGGCAGCTTCTAGAATATCGTTGTGCTTTTATATGCACCCAACCTGCTTCATCTGTTGCCAAGTAACTCTGCCTGTCAACTCCACAGTGTTCACATTTTAACACAAGTTTCTGACAAAATATGTTAAATCACAGAAGAAAATGGTGTAGCAAAGTGCACTGGTGTTGAAAGAGTGAACGCCACCAATATGGCACTTACATTTCTTTAAGTTTAAGAGAAATGTCTGACCATCTCATAGCATTCTATGGCTATGAAGCTAAATACATTTCCAACAATCGAGATGCAATGCAAAGAAATTGTAAAGTAAGTAAATGGTTTTAATCTGAATGCACAAAGAAAAAAGAATGGAATGTCTCAATCATTCAGTAGAAGCATACTGAAGATCCATTATACTCTTTCTTACAAGTCTATTCAAAACAAAGTATGTCTACCAGGATCTAACAATCTGTGATGAAACCATGCCTGTTATGAAAAGTGAACAAGGATTGAGCCTTAAGAAAAATTTTTTTAAATTATTTTAATTTAATTTAGAGGATGGACCAATAGGTCCCATGTTGTCCCAAAACATTACGTTATGTTATCTTCTAGAAATGACAAAATGGTCAAACATTTCCAAATCGTCATCAAGTGGATAACCATCCTTGAAACAAGGAACTCCACAAATTTCTTTCTTGTTCTGCATGTTTTCAGTAACTTTTCGAGAAGTATTTGACAATTATGTCAAGAGCTCATCCAATCACCAACTATGAAGAGAAGCACACCCTTGACACCATTAATAACTTTTAAAAAATTTGTACTTCATTTAATTCACATAGCCACAAGCAATCTGGAACATGTACATATGGGAAGACCATTCTCTGAAAGTAGATGTCAATGAAGCATCCAACTAATGAAAGTTTGCATAAATTATGCTTCATGTTGAATCAATTATTATTTGACTGGATAGGTACAGAAGCAAGAAAGATTTGAAGGCCAAAACATTTGTGCAGAAAGTTTTGCACCGATGTGCTCAAAAGATATTTATGGTTTATTTCCACTAAGCTTGGTACTAGCCACTATCCTCTGCATGTTTTCATTTTCTGCAGCAACAGAGCAATGCTTCATTATGTATGGCTTTGAGAGAGGCATTAATATCATTTCAAAACAGGTATGTTTTGGATGTGAAGGCTTATTGGTTGGTTTATTCTAGTAATCTATTTTTTTCAAGTTCTGAATAGAGATTTGAACTTGTAATGCATGGAAACTGAGTTGTCCACCAGCATGGCTGAATTTACACTAATGTCCAAATTATGAAGGATTAAAAATAATTTGCCAATTCAAAATCCCACAAAAAACATAGTAATGGTCATACATATTGCACAAGATCTGGTTCCTCAGCTCCATAAAGCTGTTTTCTCTGTGGTTTTCATAAGTTCTGTTGATAGAGATGGCCGAGGGAAGCTTCACAAAGCTTACTAGCCATTCTAAAGTGGTTAAGCGCAGTTTCAGCCTGAACATGAACACTTCTATTTTGTGCAATAGAAACACAGTCACCATCCATAATAGATCTGCTTCTTTGTGCAAGTTTTGATGTTGCTACCTGATACCAAGACTCAAAGAGAAAGTTACAAGTAGTAGCTTTGTTCTTTGCACTAAAGATGAATCTACTACACATTTTGGAAAAGGTGTACTTGGCCATGGATTTTTATTTCAAAAGATTCTGAGATTCCATGAAACATTCATTCAAGGACCTTAACTAACTCACTTATCATATCATTAAAAAAAAACATCTATGTAGTTACGTTTATTTTTCTCCAGATGCTCTGACAGCAAATCCAAAACTAATTCACTCAGCTTACCAAAATTAGAACACTTGTTCTAACCATCTGCAAAACTGAATTAGCATCAACAACCCAGGCTATGTACTTCACAGACTCATGGAACTTATTCTCAGAAGTCACTCTTTTCTCTAGTCCTGCTAAAAAGACTGCTCTTTACTGGCTCAAAGATAGTCACCAGTGTCTTTTAAATACAACTACTCACCATTCAGTTTAACTCACCAAATAGTAACCTAAATTAATCTAGGTGCAAGACTAATACTATGACATGGCCCCTAATTTTTTTTATTCAATATTATACAGAGAACTAACTGTTTAATGACTATATTACAGATTTATTTTTTAGTGAAAAGTAGAATTAAGTTCATACAGTGAATTCAAAAGAACTCAAAAACCCTATAAATATTATATTGATATTACAATTATAAGAGGCTTTACTGTATTTCTTTGGTTTGCTGTCTCAAGCTGTGCTGATGAGCCTTGAATAGGCAAAACTGCAGTCCACAGTAGGTTTGGCAAATCAAAGAATGCATTAAACCTCTACATCACATATTATATTTTCAATTTTACCTTTGGTGAAAAGAAATCTGTAATATAATCATTAAGTCATATATATATTTATAAAATCTTACATATATGATCTATGTGCTTATATCTATTACAAGTGTAAAAACTTAAGATTATGTTGCTAGTTTCTGAAATCCAGTGAAAGATTACACAACATGGTTAACTTAAAAAAAAAAAGACTACATTTTGTGTCAATTTTGACCATTTCTTACAAAAATATTACCCAACACTTGAGTTACCCAGACATCAAGTGACACATGCCATTAAATTATTCCTAAAATGTCTTTCAGAAAAATATGACAAAAACAATGTTTATTCTTCATTAAGCCAGCTACAAATAAAGCTCTAAAGGGCACCTTTACTTTGTATGGGGGATCTATAATTATAACATCTACTGACTTGTACCAGAGTTGAGAATTGTAAACAAGGTTGGATATTATGTTTTATATAGCAACTGGAAATTTGTTGTAATATTACCTAATTGCTTCCACAAAACAGTAAGTTTTATGTTTCAAAAGATTTGCAAATCATTTTTTTTAAAGAACACATATAAATTATAACAACATGACATAAATCATGTTTTTAAGTACATACTATTTTATTAGACAAATATTCGAGTGTGACTAACCATGAGCTAATAACTAAAAAATAATATAATACTAGGTTATTACTGTTAGCTCATTGGCTTCAAATCAAAGATAAATTACAGACCTGAATGTACAAAAAAAATTCAGTAAAAAAACTAGGACGTACAAAAGTAAATTGCGATCTATTTATTCTCACATGCCGTTGCTTTACACTACAAAATTTTCAAAAACAATTTTAGTTATTTTTAATATAATTTTGTAAATTCTAATTCTAGTTGGTTCTACCTAAATTTGACTTGTGCCTAACTTAGTAGTTAAGAGAAAATTTGAGAACGAGAACCTCAACAAAACTAATAGAATACATTTCATTTACCTCTTAGAAAAAGACTACAACAAAGTTTTTAACTTCTGAAGCTGTTTTTTTTTCTCTTTCTAAACAATTAGAAGTACTATTGTAATAGTACTATTCCAATCTTATTCCTAAACTTCATGTGATGCAGTTCCAAACCGTCACACTCACAGCTATCGCCATCTAAAAAATACATTAAAATAATATTCCGAAATAAAAAAGAACATAATATTATAAATATGAAACAAACAAATAAAACAAAAGTCCACTCTACCGTCAAAATTAGTCTCTAAATTTCCATGTTCGTCGGCTAGAAAATATATATATTATAAGAAGCGTTGGACTTTGGTCTACGAATGAGAACACCGTGGACAATGTAATGTTTAAAGTATTTATATCAGTATGAAGAAATGATCTATAAATGTTATACTTAATCTTGAATTGGAAACGCTGAGTCTTTCTGCAGTAAGCCAAAAAGAAAGAAAGAAAATTCTAATTTTTTATGTTAAACTTTTAAAGGACCAATGTGGCACCAAATTACTCATCAAGGTTTTAGGCTAATTTGACAATGAAATACAAAGTTCTCTAAATACTCAGTTGTATCTCAGAAAGAGTGCTTTTAAGTTTTATTAAAATTATGTTAAAACTACCGAAAACTTCTAAATTAAAAGCGAATTACATTTTAAAAAATGTAAACATGTTTACTTTTGTTGCACATATTTGAGTTATAATGATTTATTAGTTAGTACTTCAATTAATGATATATAATTCAAAATTTCTATCATTATAATAGATATGTAATGATAATTGATGGCTAAAAGTTGATTACAGATTTTTCATACGTAAAATTATCATACTACTGAAACTTTAATAAAATTAACAATGTTTGTTTGAAGTTAAGCACAAAGCTACACAATGGGCTACCTGTGCTCTGTCCACCACAGGTATCGAAACCCGGTTTCTAGCGTTGTAAGGGGGGCTAAATTAATAATGAAATCAGCCCAATATATCTTCATACGAATAATTTCTACAATTAAGAATGAATCATAGTTATAAAAAACATTAGTGAAGAATTTAAAATTCATACCAATACATTGTAAGAATACATAGTTACTAACTGATAAAAGTAGTATTATTAGTTTTAAATAAATAACTCATAGAAATGACTCAAAATTCCTGCGGACTGTGATGAAATACACCTTGAAAATTAAAAACATAACGTTTAACTCATTTGTTTGTTTTAATGCAAAGCTAAAAATGATTTATTTGAACTGTATCCGCTATGGAAATCAAACCCTGAATTTTAGCTTTATAAGCCATGAAACTTTTGCTGAGCCTCTGTGGGGGAATACAATATAGGGTACTTAAGTTTCAAATAAGCAAGATTTATATTCACACATAAAATGACTTTATTATTGGATGAAATAATGTGATATATTCCTTGTTAAAAGTTTTTATCATTCACAGCGCGATATGCTTAAACATTTTATTTCAAGAAAACTAGTTAGAGTATACTCATTATCATTTTTTTAAAATTTTCTTCCTGGCTTTACATACATTTACTTATTATTCTAAATCTTATAATCAAAATCCAAAATACACCCAGAACATACAAAAATGTTAGCATATATCCATCACCCTTACCCCAATATATTTGAAGCTTTAAAAAATACAGTTAAATTAATATAAAAACAAAAATATTAATAATAATTTTATCATAATATTATTAAAATATAAGCCTTTGAAATCAGATGTACATGTTAATATGAACATCATTCAATACAATAAAACAAACAAACAAACGGAAAACTGACACGAAATTAACAACTCATTATTTCACACAAATTATAAGTTTCAAAAATAAATCTAAAGAACTTAAACATAAAAGTGAATTAAATTAATATTTAGTTCTTTTAGATAAAATAGAAAAAAAAAGAATAAAAGGTTTATGGACACAAGCTTTAAAATGGGTTTCAATCAATTGATAGAAACTCTAGCAGGTTCAGAAACACATTCTTACCAGAAAGTTTTGTGTTTCAGAGTGGTTAAAAGAAAGTTATGATTGATGGTGGCCCTCTTAGCTATTGTATGATAAGTCTAATTTTGACGCCCAGTCATAAATAGAGTGGCTTGAAGCATTCGAGCTTCGTGGAGTAGATGGCAGGTTTTACCCAATTTCATTCTGCACTGTTGACAACTATAGTCTGGATGACTGGTGACATTTCTGTAGCTTTCAGGGCTAGCATGATAAGAACTGCTTTTACTCGCAAACGGAACAAGAACGAACATTAATATTGTTATTAATTACTGTTTTCTGAGTTTCTTCCGCCCCCAATCTCACTTTTATGTTTGTTTGTTTGTTTGTAATTAAGCACAAAGCTACACAATGGGCTATCTGTGCTCTGCCCACCACGGGTATTGAAACCCGGATTCTAGCGTTGTAAGTCCGCAGACATACCGCTGTGCCACTGGAGAGCCTTTATATTTGTTCAAATGGAACATGGCAATTGAAGAATAACGTAAAGCGTGGAGGACTCCAACACTCGGAGGAGAAAGTTATCATGAACTTTCCATACAAAAATAATCCTGACAGGACTACATTATATAAAGACTGAGTCTGAAATTTTGCTGAGCATATCCTTAGGTCTGTCTTTCATCGATGAGATACAAAATTTTATTTGGAAAGGTTTTCATGGAAACGGAAGTGTATTTTACAACACCATGGTCCGATCCAACCTTAATAACAGCGTGTCATATAAGTATTAAACTTTTAGGTTTATGATAAAACAAATTGTTGGTTATTTTGATTTTTGTTTTGTTTATTGAATTTCGTACAAAGTTATTCGAAGGCAATCTGCACTAGCCGTCCCCAATTTTGAAGTAATAGACTAGAGGGAAAGCAACTAGTTAACACCATCCGCCGCCAACTCTTGGACTTTTTCTCTACCAACATACTGTGGGAGTGACAGTCACATCATAACGTCCCCACGACTGAATGGGCGAGCGTGTTTGGTGACGGGATTCAAACCGGCGAACTACAGATTGCGAGTCGAATGGTCTAGCCATCAAGCTATACCAAGTCAGTTATTTTGAAATTAGCATTTTAGGTTAATTCTGTTTATGTATCAGATATAACATTAACTAGAGAAAAAACATCGTTCATTCTAAATGTTTGAAATTAATAATATCAAATTCATCTGAAAGTCATTTTAAGATGAAAACCTTATTTTAGAATATATATATATATATATATATACATACATATATATAGGAACAAGT